TTAGATTCAGTGACTAGCTTCTAGTGATATAATGGCTTTCTAACTCTCTGAGATGAGGTATTATGATTACTTACATTATTTACATTATTCCGACTGTTATCCTCATCTTTATTGCCATATTCACAAGGACACATAGCCCAGTGGATAAAGACGTTGGTTAGATCCAGTGACTAGCTTCTAGTGATATAATGGTTGTCTATATCTCTAAGATGAGGTATTATGATTATTTACATTATTTACATTATTCTGACTGTTATCCTCATCTTCATTGCCATATTCACAAGGACACATAGCCCAGTGGATAAAGACGTTGGTTAGATTCAGTGACTAGCTTCTAGTGATATAATGGTTGTCTATATCTCTAAGATGAGGTATTATGATTATTTACATTATTTACATTATTCTGACTGTTATCCTCATCTTCATTGCCATATTCACAAGGACACATAGCCCAGTGGATAAAGACGTTGGTTAGATCCAGTGACTAGCTTCTAGTGATATAATGGCTGTCTATATCTCTAAGATGAGGTATTATGATTATTTACATTATTTACATTATTCTGACTGTTATCCTCATCTTCATTGCCATATTCACAAGGACACATGGCCCAGTGGATAAAGACGTTGGTTAGATCCAGTGACTAGCTTCTAGTGATATAATGGCTGTCTATATCTCTGAGATGAGGTATTATGATTACTTACATTATTTACATTATTCCGACTGTTATCCTCATCTTCATTGCCATATTCACAAGGACACATGGCCCAGTGGATAAAGACGTTGGTTAGATCCAGTGACTAGCTTCTAGTGATATAATGGCTGTCTATATCTCTGACATAGGGTATTATGATTACTTACATTATTCGGACTGTTATCCTCATCTTCATTGCCATATTCACAAGGACACATGGCCCAGTGGATAAAGACGTTGGTTAGATCCAGTGACTAGCTTCTAGTCATATAATGGCTGTCTATATCTCTGAGATGAGGTATTATGATTACTTACATTATTTACATTATTCCGACTGTTATCCTCATCTTCATTGCCATATTCACAAGGACACATGGCCCAGTGGATAAAAACTTTGGTTAGATCCAGTGACTAGCTTCTAGTGATATAATGGCTGTCTATATCTCTGAGATGAGGTATTATGATTACTTACATTATTTACATTATTCGGACTGTTATCCTCATCTTCATTGCCATATTCACAAGGACACATGGCCCAGTGGATAAAAACTTTGGTTAGATCCAGTGACTAGCTTCTAGTGATATAATGGCTGTCTATATATCTGAGATGAGGTATTATGATTACTTACATTATTACAGACAAGGTACTCCGATTAAGCTTCTTATATAATTTTTCTTGTGTTCGAACAAGTGTTTTCTTTTTCAAACACAGCACATTTTGTCCGTGTGCATAGTTAATATTAAATGTTGGCTTTTTCTTTTTTATTATTAAGGCTTCCATAATTTTTACTCGTTTTTAAAAGGTGAATCGGTTTATTATATTTGTATTTTCTACTAGTAGTTTTCAGATGGAGTCTAGTAAGTTTGTGTGTCTATTTAAATGGATCCTAATAGATCTATCGTCAGACGCAAGGTAAGCCGTCTGGATAAGCATGTAGTTGTGTGACCGATGTAATTATTTATGAACACGGTTCCTTAAGGGGCATTTGAACTCATAATGTTCGTTCGTTGATTTTGCTGGTGTGTTGTTATTCTTGAAGATAAGGTAGGCTATTTTAAATTTTTTGTACTAGATAATTAATTTGATTTTTTTTTATTCGGGTCAATTGGGATCGTGTATTTCTTTATAATATTTCTAAGTGAAGTTTCGTCTTGTTGGTCGTTAATATGCGTTTGGTTTTTGTGGAAAATATTTATGTTATTTTTTACCGTGTGTTGACTATCGTTCTTATAAATAAAACATCCCTTTAATTCTAAAATCATGCACACAACCCTCACGCCCAATTAAAAAGTAAAAACAAAATCATCCTTGATAATAGCTAAAAGTATAGCCGAAAGCGCTCGGAATTATAGAATATTTGGACAGTTTCTACTGATATATATATATATATATATCTTGAACAATAAGAAAATAAAAAATTAAAAAATTAAAATCATTAGACACACTGGGTTGTAGATTAATATTCTTTCGTTTTTTTATTATTATTATTCCATTTAGATTCCTCGACTAGTTTCGACCGAAATGGCCATCATCGGGAGGAGAAGTATATCTGCTTGCTGTTGGCAATGAACTATATATATATGTATATATATATATGTATATATGCTCTTGAAAAATTTATTTCGGTTGAGCTCTCTAGGGAGGAAGTGTGGGTTTGTAAACAGTGACTATTACGGCAATAATGCAAGGCTCTTCGGTAAATCGAAATGAGATCTCTCAGTCACAATGTGTTTATCTAAAAATAAATACGCTTAAATTCAGCTTCATCCCTGCAGTAGAATCCCCGACTGACGCCAATTCAGTCGGGTTTCTATCCTAGATCTAGGCAACCGGACACCTAGCCACCCTGAAGAACTGTGATACAGCGAAACAGTCTATCTCTGGATGACAATATATATATATATATATATATATATATATATATATATATATTGTTGTGGTATGATCCACCTAATTTACATAGTGGAGTACCAACCATATAAATATGGGTTGGTACCGGGAAAACGAGGGAAGAAGTAAGAAGAGATCCAATCGAGAGACTCTGCCCGACTGCGATTAAGTCAACCCATTCTACAGGAACAGTCTTCCCAAGAATATACCAAAACTAACTGTAAATATTGTGTACCTTTTCCTTGTTGCAATACATTTTGTTTACGTACATTTTGTGTTGTATTATTATTATTCCATGCTTATCCAAGCTTCAACATATATATATATATATATATAGTTATCAGATCAAGTTTTGTTAAATCTCACTGACAAATTATGTCTGTTTCGTTTTTTATATCTTACCAATTTTCACTATCCCAGTAAAGTTTTGCTTGGAATAAAAGGGTAGGTTGGAATAAAAGGGTAGGTTGGAATAAAGGGGCAGGTTGGAAAAATCATTTTAAAAAAAGAGGCAGAGGATATTGGATTGAAAATAATTTAAAATAAAATAAACGTTTGGTTTTGAATAACTGCGGGTAGGTTGAAAAAGATCTAAACCAATTTGTTCAAACCCTCCTTGGGTGACCGAAATTCGTGACCTTGTGCCAGACTCGGCTAAGCCAAGCTAAATAATCACAGACATAAAACGAAGCGTTGAAAAATATCCGAAAGTAACTAATTCAAATCAAACCTGTAGACACCTGGTTTAAAGGTAAATCGGGGCAAGTCGTGGAAGGTGGTGCTGGCTTCACCCTAGGAGACTTGGCGGAAAGGATCAAAAAGGGCGGTTTTGTTATGCGGATAAAGGTAAAAAGAAAGACGACCCCCACCTAAAAACATATCCACCCAAACACTTTTTTAAGGAAAGCCCTCAAATTGATTTGGCTATAAAAAAAGAAAGAAGAAAAAAAATCGTCTGCTTTTTCCGTGTTAACGTTTACAGCTTAAGAACGAACGAGCGGTAAGCTTTTTTCTTCTTTTTTTTTTGTTTCTTTTTACCTTCTAGACCAAAGACTTAAAAATTTTGCTCGCCAGAGATTATGTTTTAACGAATTGTCGAATTGTCAATAATTCGATGTTTCCTGTCTTATATGATCTTAGGAATACCACCCACGTAAAATTCGTCAACCCCACACAAATCTCTAAAACACACGTACACATATCTCAAACAACCCTACACCCGTACATATATATATATATATATATATATATATAGTTCATTGAATAATATAGACATGTTATGTCTTTTTATTTTTATACTGATCATTTCTAGTTCTATAAACCAGTTTCTTGATGTTAAGATGTAGTTCATCAAGGAAGGCACTTTAATTTTTTCCTACCCAAGTACTTTCGGTCTCTTCCAAGACCATCCTAAGGAGTAAATTACAAAGAAAAACTTATTGCAATTCTGATAAAATCTACATTTTCTGGTGATGGTGACTTTTTTTTTTTTAATTTTGGGACTCGTGGAAGCAACGTCATATTAATTCCACACTTAATAATTATATAATTAGAATCTAATATTGAGGTATAGATTTGGATTCAAGTTACAAAATTATGTCTCCTTGCTTTCGCAAGACCCAGAATTTTTTAAAATACTAAAGATCGTAATGAACAATTCATCATCATTATAAATACATGAAACTCCAATCGTACTTTCGACGTAAGGTAAATATATATATATATATATATATATATATATATATATATATATATATATATATATATATATATATATATATATATATAGCTTGTATCTATGAAAAGAATGTATAAACATAAAATAATTGTCGGACTTTGATCCATTTCATAATGTGTGACGTCATTTGTTTACATCTGGATGCGCTTTGAGAGATAGATAGATAGATAGATAGATAGATAGATAGATAGATAGATACGAACAGACAGACTGACATATATATATATATATATATATATATATATATATATATATATATATATATATCGCCTTTGAGTGTTGACTTCAATTTTCACCTTTATATTTACATATGCTCTATCTCTGATATTCAGCACTTTATCAGAAATATAACACACCTGAAAACTATATTTCATCATATATATATATATATATATATATATATATATATATATATATATATATATATATATATATATATATATATAGTTCTTCTCATATTTGTCGATAAAACTATTAATCTCATTATGTGTGCGTACGTATGTACATGTGTACCTGCTCATTCGTACGTTCAGTACACCTTTATATTCCTTTTGTCAGCATAGTACTAACGTTACCGCGTTCTGTCACAAACATGCGCACCATTTTTCGGCGAGCGACTTAATCCGATTTCCGATCGATTTTAACTCTTTCTGTCTATCTACACAAGTCGTTATCTGACATGTGGCTCGCTTTACGTGACGCTTTCTTGCCGTCCTTCGGTTTCTTTCCATCGCCTGCCACCTCGTCCACTGTTCCACGCCGTCTCTCTCTCTCTCTCTCTCACTCTCTCTGCGTCCAACGGCGGATATCTCGTCTATCGAATGCCGCCATTTCTGTAGTCACGTGGGCGATTATGGCCGCTGCCAAACAGTCTAGTCCAATTCCGACGCTGACAGGAAATATCAACGCAATAATTAACGAAGATGTGTACCACGTAAATTTAGCAAGCATCCAAGACACAACGTTTTCATGATTTGGGCCGCTCTCCCTCCTTAATCCGATCGACCCCCATCGACAACGCCACCCCAGCTTCCTTCCACCTTCTCGCAGCCATTTTGGTCCGTACGTAATTTCTTGCTTTTAGGTTGCTCACGCGATGCCTGACCCCAGGGGAGCAATCGTGCTAGGAAGAAAGGGAGTCAAAAAGAAAGAGATCTCATACGGGATGTTTATGTGCGAGTCTGAAAACGTTGCAGCACAAACCCCACCGCACTGCAACCTTAACCAACCCCTGCTTGACCAGAGACTCGGTTTCTTTTTGACCGATAACACCCACGTTCCTCAAATTATACCGGCTTAGAGATTAATATCTATCGCAGTTGATAAATTAACACCTACGGAAAACACACTCATGAGCACACATACAATATCGTATCTATCTATCTATCTATCTATCTATCTATCTATCTATCTATCTATCTATCTATTACACTTTGTTCATTAGCTATCTATCTCTATCTCTCTCTATATATATATATATAATTATATATCTATCTATCTATATATCTATCTCTCTACATATATGTATATATATATATATACATATCTCATATATATACATATATCATATATATATATATATATATATATATATATATATATATATAAATCCATCTGTTGATAGCTATCTATTTCAGTCTGTTCATATCTATCTATCTATCTATTCATCTATCTATATATATATATATATATATATATATATATATATATATATTTCAGTCTGTTCAAATCTCTTCATGGATCTAAGTCTGCTCGTATCTATCTATCTATCTATCTATCTATCTATCTATCTCAGTTTGTTCGTATGTATCTCAGTCTGTTCGCATCTATCTGTCTCAGTTCTACATAATGTCAGTATACATACATACATATATATATATATGTTTCTTCATTTCTATCTATTTATTTATCTCAGTCTTTTTTCTATCTATCTATCTATCTATCTCAGTCTATTCATCTCTGTCTCAGTCTCTACATTATCTCAGCTTGTTAATATATCTATCTATCTATCTCTCTCTCTCTCTCTCTCTCTCTCTATCTATCTATCTATATATATATATATATATATATATATATATATATATCAGTCTCTAGCTATCTATCTCAGTCAGTTTCTCTATTTATTAATCTATCAGTATGGTCATATCTATCTTCGTCTGTTCATATATATCCATCGATCTTTCTCTTTCAGTCTACTCAGATCTGTCTAGCTATCTATCTATCTATCTAGCTAGCTAGAGTCTTTTTGTATCTATCTATTGAAATATATCCATATCTATCTCAGTCTTTCTGTCTTTCTCTTTTGCACTTTTCGGCTGAAATGGAAACTTTTTTCCCTTAGGATAGAAGGCGCCACCATTTAGCCCGGTACGCCTCACCGCTTGGTCATGAAGAAACCTACAGTCAGACTCGTTTAATGTAGAATATATATATATATATATATATATATATATATATATATATATATATATATATATATATAGTACAGACCGGGTTCTGTAGCCTGGTCTATGAGAGCAGAATATATATATATATATATATATATATATATATATAGTACAGTCCGGGTTCTGTAGCCTGGTCTAGCGCAGAAAGAAATGGCAGATAACTGCGGGAAAAATCTGTCGCCTCAGTCATGTATCGCCTAAACATGTATCACGCATGTCACATAACTGACGTAGCATTGGCTATCGGGGAAGGTCCTGGAAGACGCAATCATTTACTCACCTCAGTCAAATTTAATGACATATCCAAGTATCTACCTACTCCATCCTTAAGACTCTGAATAGTTCGATAAATCAAATTAGTAGCTGATTTTAAATGCAATGTCAATCGTTATCTTCTGTTTTCTTAATTCTTGTTCTTTTATTGCCCTCTCGCCTTAATAGTAGATTTTTCTCATATTCTCTAACACTCAGTGACCTCTTGCGTCCTAGTGGCTTTATTGCCTTTGATCTTCAATTTTCTTGATCATTGATTTCAAAGTGCACATTGAAATCAACACCCACAGGCGAGAGTGTATTTCATGCAAAATTCAATCGACAGGCCATACTGAATTTAGCATGAAACAGACAGTTGCCCCTGGATGTTGACTTCAATGTCCATTATATGTACATAGGCTTTATCACTGATGTTGAGCGCTTTAACCCAGAAATATAGCTCACCTTAAAACTATATTA